TATTTCTAAGGAGATTAAACAGAAGACAATTCACTTGAATATGAAAAGGGAAAATCAAAGGAAAATAACTTTGAAAAAAAAATTATTAAAAAGTACAGAGAAAATGGGACTCCTAACAACTGAGCAAGACCTGGTAGACCACCAAAACTGCAAGCATCAGATAAAGAGTACTTAAAGCTTTCATCTTTAATAGAAGAGGAGAAAATCAAGCTCCACTTTTGCTTCAGATCTCAAAAAGTCCCCAGGTGTTTCTGTTCATCCTTCCACTGTGAGAAGACAACTCAATACTAAGGGTCTGAAAGGATGTGTAGCTGTCAAGAAGTTGTTACTAAGAAAAGAAAATTTGCAAATTTGCTGTTGTTCTCAGAACAATGAACTAACTATTCCAGAGTGCAGACCTCAATATTATTGAATGTGTTTGGGATTATTCAGATCACAGGAAGCAGAAAATGCAACCAACGTCTAAGACTGAACTTTAGAGGTGTGGAAAAATATCCCTGCAGATTTCTTTGAAAAACTGAAAGCAAGTCTCCTGAAATGAATGGAAGCTTTAATACAATTACATTAAAATACACATTAAATACCAAATTCTAAATGCTGAATGCTAAATTAAACCATATAAAACCAATTTTGTGATAGGTCTTGAGCAACTTCACAGATTGACATGTATCCAGAAGGAGAAATGATGCTTTAGAATAACTTGACAAAAATACTGTAGGGAATTACAGTGTAGGTCAGGTAATTATTTGTTATGGTTCCCATTACCCTAAAAAATAAAAATATATATATAAAACAACATTGCAGTGTTTCAATGTGCATTGTACAAGTTAATATTGAATAAAATAATAAAAACTGTTGATATTTTTTCTTGGCTAAGTGTAGCACATAGACTCACAGTGTGACGGTTGTAGTGCACCTGCGGTGTGGTTGGTTTGTGTGTGTACTCGTTGGGTTTGGGGGACGATGAATTTCTGGATTGATGGGATGTGTGTGTGTCTCTGTGCCTGAGGGGAGAGGGTGATGGGGACTGGAGCATCTAATCGGGGGTCCCAGGCCAGCGGGGAATACTGTGGGTGTCACTCTCTCCAGATGATTGACAGCTTGTTGATTAGGGGTCGGCTGAGGGCTGGAAACCAGCCAGGACCACCAGGGGCAATCAGCAGCTCCACCATTCACACAGTCTCTCTCAAACACAGACACACACACATGCCTGCACTTAGCACGCTGGTGGGAAGTGACAAGATCAGATTATCCGCAAGCAAAATCAGCAGCACTGAAAGAACAAAAAAAAAAAAGAAAACTCACAGGAAAACGGATAATGGGGTCAGCTTTGGAGCTGTGGACAAAAGTACATGACATTACACCTGTTAGTTTACTTTGAACACACAGGCAAACACATGAGGGTTGTAAAAATGCATTCTGATGTATGAATGAAGGTGGTGATTCAACTGCACTGATTTTATAAACCGGAAAGTTTGTAAATTTTGCACTTGTATGCACATCTATGACCTCTTCACAACATTAAATTCTGTATTATATTATACTGCCTAAATGATACTAAACATATCCTACATGAGAACTTGGTTTGGTTAAACTTATTATCATAACTAAGCTGATCAACTGGCTAACAGGCGAGGATGTTCTTCTATTAAAGAAATAGTTCGGCAAAAAATCAAATTCACACAATTTACACTTACCCTAGATGTAGTTGATCAGCCAGGACATGCTTGATGTTCAAATTTTGCTTGTTTGTTTTAAACTGGAGACATGAGGCTAACAAACACTAGGAGTCAACAGTTCTCTTTCCAATCTCTTCCATAAATACATCTCCAAAACATCTCTCAAGCAGTTAAAAATGAATCCAGGCTTTGCATTAAGCTAGACTTGATGTGGTTTAGAACAGGGGTTTGCAACCTTTTCCATCTTAAGGCCCACCAATTTGTCACTAGAAGACATGTCTAAAAATGTTATTTTTGTGAATTTTTCAACACAGCTATGTTTAGGTTCTTCACCTGCATTATGTGATGCATATCAGTGAGCATATCAACAGCATGGTGGAAAATTGGACTGTTTCTACAGCACAGTTTTTTAGGAGTGTTGCGAGGGGGCAACTAAAACTTTTAGAATGTATCTTGTTTCCAGAGGCAAGGGGCAAAAAATTGGCAAAGCTGCTAAGCAGCTAAATGATGTGGGAAAATATCTAATAATTCTAGCAATTTTTTTGAACCAGTATTGTCACTGCGATTTTTTTGGTCAATAAGACCAGCAGATCCAGCTTTTCTGGCTCAAGCAGTTAGTTGTGGTTGGGTTGTTATGCGCACCATATAAGCATTTAGTTACTTCTGATTAGTGTAACTTATCTTACTGGTAGTTCACAAGCTTAGACTTAAGACTGTCATAATGTGACAGTCAATGTGCAACAAAATAATGCTCACCAAGTAAGTTATGGTCAGCATTTCTTATTGCCTGTCTGCTCTGGATATGTCCTCTTCCTCCTTAAGAAGCTTTGTTGTTCTTGTCTTATCTGTGCCATCTTTTTTTGCAGTTCTTGCTGCTTGATGTCCATCATCACATGATTTACACATGAGAATTGCTACATCGGTAATAAAAGTAAGGAACTCTTTAGAGCGCTACCTGTTTTATCAGCCAGTCCCTGTTGCACCGATCTAAATATGCTAATTTCTCAAGGCTGTTGTTAGATTCTTATTTGAATTTCTGTTCCACCTTAAATACAGCATTTCCATGCTAGTGCCCGTATAGGCGTCTGAATATAACAGCTACATCAATTAAGGTCAAAGACGTTAACTTCAGCATCATATAATAACTGCCCACAGCATAAGACTTTACAATTAACAAACTGGGAATATACTACTTGAGATGGGGGCTGTTGGTTTTACCCCTAAATTACTACAAATATACTCTTGGATGTAACATTTATAGTTTTGGTGTTTTTGTGCTTATATGCACGAGTTAATACATTAGCTCACAGAAACAGGCCTAAAACATTCCCAGCCCAGCAGGAATTCTTGCGACTCTCCCGATTACTCACTTCGGCATTCTGCCTTAAGTAGTATTAAGACCAGCATGGGAAAACATATGTGTAGCACTGTTAGCTAACATAATGCTAACATTATGATGCTAACATTCCATGTGGTAATTTGACAAGAATAGCTACTTATATTATGAAGGCTTCTGGATTAAATGCTGATATATTATGATATGATAATTCTATGGAATTTTTTTAAGGGCATGAAATTACTAGAACGCTCAATAATATGTGACAAAAGTATATTGTCCTTGTTCAGCAGTCCGTGCCTTCTTGACAATAACAGCCTACTCTAAATGACTTACATTTTCTATCAGAAGTTTTGTTTACTGAGATTATTACAAGTAATAAATTATTTAATGAACATATGTGTATTTTATCATACTGTTTGCACTGTTTTAAATCCCCCCATTAAATCCCCCCAAAATTAAACAAATAAACAAAGTTTGTTGTATTGATTATTTATATTGCCTGCAATCAACTACTATGTAAATATTCTTCCAGTTCTCTCTGTTTATTGTATTTTTTATACTGTACACTTAAAAATACATACTTTTTTTTTTTTTACAAATAATGAAATCATTCATCACAAAATCATGATGAAACTTGAATGCACTGAGTCATTTTTCTAAAGAATCATAATCAAATCAATTTGAACTCTAAATGCAAAATCATGAGCCACATCAGTATACAAATTATTCAAAGACTCTTCAACAACCAAAAATAGTCCTGAAGCCTTTGCACTGTGTCCCAGGATGAAGTCAATCACTGTACTCCCCTGGGTACGGGTCAGAAGCAGATTAAACCTTTTTCACTGCAAAGGAACATTGTTCGGAAACCATTTCTTTATACGTGGTGATAAATATCTGCTTTTATAGAGGCTATCATTCTGCTCGTAACGTTGCATAGTGATATATGACTGGCTGCTTTATTAAAACACCCAGGCGAGATTGTTTTATTCTACAAATGTAAATCAAAACTCACTCCTCACACTACACCAATTACCCAGGGCCCAAATATGCTAATGTAGCAGAATATTTTATAGAAGCAGTAAAATCTGAAATCCATAATTTGTTAGTGTATTTCATGTAAGAAAACACTAAAAGGTGGGCTATGAATACAAATTGTTGGAGGCTAATCTGTTATATGGAGCCGTGATGAGCGATAAGCGTATGAGAGATAAATAGTAAAGATATAAGAGAATGTTTCAACCCACTGCTAGGAGGTATACTGAGGGTTGCATTAAATGGGACTGTATTTAATTGAAAATGATGAAATCCTGCAAAGTTGTCACATTAGACTAGACTGAATATGTGTGCATGTGCATCTCGTACACAAAGGGCCCATATTCTCCTTGCTTTTTAATTTTTTTTTTTGCTGTTTTGCTGAGAAATGTGTGTGCATTCACTCTGTATGTTGCCTTTGTACTATTTTTAATAGTACAAAGGCAACATACACTATATGGACAAACATATTGGGACACCTACACATTGCACCTACAGGAGCTTTTATGACATCCTAAATCCATAGGATCCAATCCAATTGCTTCCACTCTTTTGGGAAGCGTTCTACAAGATTTTGTCTGTGGGATTTTGCCCATTCATCCATAAGAGCATTTGTGAGGTCAGACCTTGATGTTCGACGAGAGGGCCTGGCTCGTAATCTTCATTCTAGTTCTAGTTCTGGGGCAGTCGTGGGCTGGAGGTTATGGAACCAGCCCTGTGACAGGAAGGTTGCCCGTTCAATCCCCTCAGCTGACAGTCCATGACTGAAGTGCCCTTGAGCAAGGCACCTAACCCCCAGTTGCTCCCTGGGTGCCGTGGACAGGGCTGCCCACCACTCCGGGCAAGTGTGCTCACTGCCCCCTAGTGTGTGTGTTCACTAGTGTGCATGTATTTGGGTGTTTCACTGCACGGATGGGTTAAATGCGGAGGTCTAATTCCACAGTGTGCAAAACACAGTTGGCTGATGGTTCTGAATAGTTCATCCCAAAGGTGGTCGATGGGGTTGAAGTCAGGGCTCTGTGTGGGCCAGTCCAGGCCACACCACACTCACCCAACTATGCCTTTCTGGACCTTGCTTTGTGCACTGGGACTGTTTTTTGAAAAATATGTATGTCCATTTTGAATTTGATGTCACCAACATTTACACAGCAGGGTTGTATGTAAATAGACATTAAATGCCCCCCTGTATTGTGCCACTCACCAGCCACTTTATTAGAAATTGCTACCTTGTAGGTTCACATTGGTGAAAAGTTAATGTTTCTTAACCCTGGTTCTGGGAGCCCACTGCCCTTTCTGCACAATTCAACAGTTTGAGAAGTGAACAAAGTCATTCGGAGTGGACTGATGTGAAAAGCTTCATTGTAGAGATTCAGAGTCAGATTTATTTACAGTGGTGGTGATAGGAACCAGGGCTTGTGATATCTACAATCTGTTTTTGTCAATGATGGCATATTCTAAACCTAGGATGGGGAACTCCAGTTCTGAGTTGCCAGGTTTCCTGCACTGTTCAATACAATTTTCCTACTCAAGCACATCAGATTCAAGTTATTATCTGATTACCAGGTTTAGTTGGTAAATGAAACCAACAAAATGTGCTGCCCTCAGTTCCAAACCCCTGTCCTACACAATTCCATTTCACAATAATAGCACTTACAGTTGACTGGGGTAGATCTAGCAGGGCAGAAATTTCATGAACTGACTTGTGCAAAGGTGGCATCCTATGAAAGTGTCGCATTTAAAGTCCCTGAACTCTTCAGTACGACCCATTCTTCTACCAGTGTTTGTCTATGGAGATGGCACAGCTATGTGCTGTCATAAAATAATGTCTGTTTCCTGAAGAAATACAAAAAAAAATACTGTTCACTGTCTCAGTCATGAGTGATCATCTCTATGCCCCTGAAAAACTCTATGCCGAGCGCTGCTTCCACCTCCTCCAGACTCTGCAATAGCTTCTTCGCTGAGGCAGTCAGACTACTGAGCACTCTGAGGTTGTCTGATTGCATCACTGCCATCACTGCACACCTGCACTTTAAATTTTTAAAATCTCAATCTTTGAATGCTGCTATGGGCTATATAGTTTTGCTGTCCTGTCTAGTTGCATCATGTGTATTTGTCACATATATTTTTGTTCTGTTCATTTATTGTCGTTTAATTACTGTTCTGTGTATTCAGTCCAGTGTATATTTAGATGCGAAGCACCTCATTTCGTTTCAATGTATACAAGTTACATTGAGGAATAACATTAAAAGTCAATAAAGATCACCCAGTATTTGAGAAGCTTAATCTCCTGCCAAGTTTTGTTCCAAATCTACTATGGTAATATAATATATATTACCCAACTGGGCTAGCTTTTGATATTACTTAATAATTTATAATTATAACTATATTCTGCCCAGGTGGCATATAACACTGTTAAAATTCAGTAGATCTCCATGTTCATTTGGTTGGAAGCCAAAATATTTGTGCACTGGCACTCTTCTTCCAGAGAAGTGTGGCCATTTTACTTTTACTTTCTACAAGATTTTTATTTTTCATTTTATTATATTATCACCCCACCGCGACCCAGAAGGATAAGCGGTTTAGATGATGGATGGATGGATATTATCAACTGGAGCTCCTTTCTTTCATTTGCATATTCCTCAGCATTATTGTGCCATACAAAGTATGTATGTAGGTAATTAGTTGGTGATGTTTTGTTTGTATAGCTTATGATTAAGTGTAATCTTTATGATTGTCGAGCAAAACTAAAATTAGCCTTAACTATCTATTATAGGGACCAAGCACCATATGACATGACCCTAGGTTATAAAATTTCATGTCCAGTTCTCAAAGCTTCCTAACTACTCTGGATTTCCTAATGAAAGTAAATTTGGTATAGCTTTAATTATGTATGTAGACTGAAGAAGGCCTAACTGTAATAGCCACTGTTCACCACTGCATTTTACTATCCAATTACTTGTATGTTAAAGCTGCACTATGTAAGATTTTTTGTTAAAATTTAAATAAGTAGCATTACTGATTCAGAAAAAAAGAAAGCTAAAATGTGGTGTCTGTGCATCGCTGCAAGTCCGAATAATTTAAAAGTCAGAGGTGTCAGGTTAGGTTTCGCAGACATTTTTCAGTCCACATCAAACGCCTTTATGTATTAACGGCAAATGCAGGGGCTCAGAAAGAAGGCACAACTCTTTCAAAGTGCTCACAACTATCGGATTTATCTGCTTAGGGAAAGGGCCCGAAGACTTTACAAAATGTTCTTCCTCACTTTACATGCAATTACACATTTCCACAAGAGAGGTTACAAAACTTACACAGTCTAACTTTAAGCCTGATGGGCATGTGACAATGTAAAAAAAAAACAACAAAAAGATGCTTGATTTGCACAGCATCAAGTTGTCTGACTCCAAACTATTGTTTTGCAGACCAGCTGTCTGCATGTTAAATCACATGCTCAAAACACAAAGATAAACCGCTAAATCCACCAGGAACAGATCACATCTTGTGCTAGCTTCATGCAAAAAATAAATGTTAAACCTTCTAGGATTTCATTTTTCATTCAAAACAACCTAGTACATCGCAACCATTTCCTATATGGCTGGCTAACAGTGGCAAAAGAAAAAGTGCAGCAGTGCTCTGTAACCTCTGCTTGCTCTGAAGGTTATGCAGTCTGACCTGGTTAACGCTCCTGCTTGATTTACACCTTTGCAGGCCTCATAAGCCCTTTCTTATAATGCATGATTAAGACCCAATCAGTGCTCAGGTAAAAATAAGCTCTTCATATTTAATGTGCCTCGTGTTAATGAGCAAACGGTGCTCTGGAACTGCCAACAAAACAGATGCACTGGCCACTGCAACGATATATCTGACCGTCTCCATTATGGGATTAAAGATGAGGCTGTTTAAGTCGTATGTAATAAAGCCTATGTGTGTGATATTAACCCGTGGGTTGCACGTTATGGCCAGTCGCCTTCACAACAGTACTGCAAGCAGTATTTTCTTGAATAAGGAAGTGATTTGACAATAAACATGAAAACGGTTGAAAATGTATTCTTTTACAAATGACCTACACTACATGTCCAAAAGGATTTTACCTCTTTTAGTTAGTGAAATCAGCTACATTACGGTGCACCCACTGCTGACACAAGCGCTTAATTGTACACACAAAGCTTGTATAATTCCAAGAGAAAAGCTTTACCATTGGAGGTGGACACTCTGGAGCAGCCTCACATGAATTTAAGGTCACCATGCTCAATGCCAAGTGTCATCTAGAGGGGTATAAAGCTCACCAGCATTGGGCTGTGGAGCAGTGGAACTGTGTTCTTTGGAGTGATGGAGATACCTTTTGGATGATCTGAAGTGGCTTTTGTGATCCAGAACTAAACGTCCAACATCAGTACCTGTAAGTAAGTAAGCTTGGATGAAAAATGACTATTGTCTGCAGAATTATTGCAATAAACAATATCATTGTGATCTAAATTCAATTATGAAGTACCACAAAGGAGACTTGGTGATAGTTGGGGTTCTATAACCTATAATCAAGTGCAACCTTTTCGATCATATACATTTTTTAACTAACCATAGATTAACATGCTTGTACAAAGGGAACAGTTAAATGGGGCGAAGCAATAAAAAAAAACACATGAAGAAATGGCAATTTGCATAAGTATCACAACATTCAACAACATCAATTATCAGTCCAAGGCTAATGCTCTTGTGGCTAAATACAATCAAATCCTCAGTTTCAATATCTAGTGTAAAGCTTCCTCAAAAGAGTAGTGGCTGTTTATGCACTAAGGGTTACAAACTCCCTATTAATACCCTTTATTTGAGGAGCAAAATTGGATTACCCATTGTCTACGATGGTACCAGCAGTGAAGGACAAACAGGGCCTTCTATGCCTCAGGGAAGTCTTAATGATTTCTGCAAGCTAGAAAAAAATATGCCTGTAAATTTTAGTTTATTTTTATAGTGTTTCTCTTGTTAAGCTTTGGTTGGAAACATAAGGGTTCAATGGGTAATGGAAAAATGATCCAATCAGAATATTAGATACAGCCAAGCGAGCTCTCCAATTGGTTATGACTTCAGAAGCTGAACAGAAGGCCTAACGTGCCAACATAATTATAAAGTGATAGTGGAATCAACTAATCACATTTTAATTTAGAATGCAACCAAGTTTGTGAGGACAAATGTTTCTGATTGTCAGTGTGACTGTTAGTCTGACCAATGCGTTTCAGTCACGAGGAAAATAACGGCAGCTCTTTGTCAGGGCTCTGAAGGAGTCACTATAAAACATCTACAAAATAAGTTAAATATGTCAAACTACATGTACTACAATGTTCATGTGAATCACCATTAGCCTAGCACTAACATACTACTAGAATCCCATAAGGTTGTTAACAGAGATTAGCATTATCGTAGAGGTGTTTTTCCTCTTTTTTGACATGTATGGCCCAACTGAAGGCCTAGTTTTAATAGTCACAGTTTGCCACTTACCTAGATATTCCATTTAAATGGTTTTCTATGTAAGACAAACACCTGATTTAAAGCAATGAAACTACTGAATTTCTGTTCAGAGATTAACTGCTAACTTCAGCAGTTTAGACCTATTCTTCATTCATCATTCATATTTTAACTATTTATCACTTGTAGCTCTGAAACAAATCTAGACTGCAGATTCCATTATACCACGTTTGTATTTGCAAGTAGAAGAGGAAATTTTGAATAATGATTTAAATTTGACGAAAAGTTATTGTTGTGCATGTACTCCTGTTTCATCAAAGCTGTTTTTTTGGCATGTTTCTGTCATGGCTTGACAAACAGAAACAAGTTACAAGTGCAGACTTGAAGCTGATGAAACAGAATGTAACTCACATGTTAATATAATTCATTGCATAAATTAATGTCTTTATGTTATTAAATTTGAATAGTACAGAAAACTAGTAATAATTCCATAAGACAAGAAAATAGAGTGCCATAATACATTTTAAAAATAACTGAAAAATAAATGCTTTTTATATACTGACCACACAAAACAGTGTGCATCATTTTGTTTAATGAAGACCTCAGTTTCACATCAATAGCATCTATGAGAAAGCACAGAGAGTCACTAACAATCCAAAAACCAATACAGAATTGTGCCCCTTTGTCTCTAAGAGAACTTTCCTTCCAGTTAACTAACTTATGAGCGCCACTAGTTTCAGGCTGAAATAACATCCGCCATTGTTATTACTGAACAAAGGCTGAAATGCTTTAAGACGGAACAGGGCACAGAAATACTCCCCATCGATTTCTGCCCCGGAAACTCTCTAATGGTCCGCAGGCAAAAGACACACACACATGCACGCACACAAACTCTTACTCACACTCACACTCTTCAGGCCCCTGAGATGACACGCACGATCAATGTAGCCAGCAAACAGTAATTCATTAACCTCTCAGTCAGACGGGTGCTCCACATTCTGGCCCTATCCAAGCTGAGGTCCGCATTGTCCCACCAGCCGAGTCCTAGACAGGTTAAAACTACCCATTCGTTCGCTGCTCTTTTCTCTAATTAGCGAGCACATTCTTTCATTGGTCTCTCCATGGTGACCTGCACAGTGGAATGCTGAGGGTGCTGGAGTCATTGGGTCTGGATGATGTCATAGCATCAATCGGTCAGGCTGAGGATATGCCTGTGGAGCTGGTCAGTAAACGCTTGCAAAGAGAAGCGATCTATGACTCTGTCACGGCCGGCCTGGCCCATGCGCTGCTTCAGTCCCGCATCTGTCAAAAAGCGTCCCATTGCTTCTGAGAAACTTTCTGGTGTGGGGTCACACAAGAAGCCAGTTTCCTCATGTGCCACTGACTCTAGCGGCCCACCAGAGCTAACAGCAATGACGGGACAGCGGGTGTACATGGCCTCCACAGGCACAATCCCGAAGTGTTCATTGCTGGGCGTGTACAGCACGCAGGTGCTACTTTGAAGGAGGGCTACTTTCTGGCGGTCTGAGAAAGAGCGCAAGAAGGTGACATGCTCCTCCAGGCCTAAAGAGGCCGCTAGTGAGCGCAGTTCACCGTAGTGCTGCACATTCTCATCCACACGCTCATCATAGCCGCCCGCCATCACCAGGTGCACCTGGTCCCACTGCCTTGAGGAAATACTGTCCCTTAAGGCAGCTAATGCCTGCAATGCTAACAGCAGGTTCTTCTTTCTCTCGTAGCGGTTAATGGAAAGGAAAAGGACACGTCGGCCCTCAGGAACCAGGCCAGTAAGGTCTTCTTCCACCTCTACATCGAAAGAAGCAAAGTTCAGAGAAGGGTACAGGACGTCTGTGTGGATCTCAGCCAGGTTGGGGAAGGTCTGTTTGAACACGCCAGCAGTGAATTTGCTGTTAACCACAATGCGGTCGGCCATGCCTGTGGTCAGCTCCTCCAGATGGTCGATGGGCACACGGTAGAGGCGCTTCAGCAGCGAGCGACGCTGAGTCAGTAACTGGTCAGGGAAGTGACAGTAGAAAAGGACCTTCTTCCGGTGGCGCGCCAGACGCAAGACAGGAATACATGCTGAGACCTAAAAGAAGCATAGAGAGAAAGAGACAGATGGTTAATGAGCACAATGATACTGCTGCATGCACACACTCAAACGATTTAATCATAAATATTTTGTACTAAACATATTTAATTGTAAGTTAATCGTAAACGTTTAATTTGTACTTTTTTCTGTTTTTTTTTGTGGTAATATTTGAATATGCATTAAACCTGTGGCAGTAACAGAATCCTCTTATTTGAATGACTGTATGGAACTGGGTTGGGGTGGGGTATTTTTTTCTCTTTTGCTTTACCATTTCGTCCTGTAATTTGATGACATTCCTTTACACTGAAGTGGATGTGGGAGAAAACACAGTGATACCATGTGAGCTAAGTCTTAATCTTTGTCAAATAAAAGAACATAATAAAGCGCAGTACAGTTAAAGCTGTAGTCATGGTTGAAGTATACCATTATTTTTAATTTGACCATGAAATTGTAATTAATCTAGTAATACAGAACAGAGTTGCAAATGTAACACAAACTTTCCCATCTGAGAGTTTGCAGCCACTTAGCCTACCACCTTCTCTGAAGCCTGAGGCCATCTGAAACGACCAATTTCGCCTGGTGAATGAGAGCTGAGACACGTTTATACTTGTGGTTTTCCTGTAGAGACCGAAGTAGACATAACAACCTCAAAAATTATGTTTTTTTTAGCATTACTGAGCCAAATGGGTTTTTCTCAGATTTTACCAGTGACTTCGAATATGTTTTTTTTTAAATCGTAATTCAAACTTCAGTTTAAAGTATTTTAATCTCTATCCATTCAAAAAGATAGGACTCAGGTCTTGTATTGCTCGAAATACCTGCCTGTTGGCGTTGCAGAGATGGTTGCTGAGTGAACTGATTTTACTATAAGGACTCTGCTTATTCTTAATTGGGAAGTGAATAAGAAATGTGTGCTTTGGAATTCAAAAAAACAAGGTCATGTAAACAACTGTCAAAGTTAACACATTAAATTTTTAATGGCATTAATGTTTTGTGCTCTGTCAATGCATTTTCTTAGTTTGACCCTTTGAACAATCCATAGTAGTTAAGCAGGCTGAACTGCTGCTCTCGCACTGTTGCTTAGACTCTGCATTTGTCTTTTATACGGCATGTTCCGATGATGGATATCTTGATAAATGCTATTTCCAGCTACTTTAATGGTGAATTTATTTATCACCAAAGTACAACTAGTTTGAATTATTATTTACAAGCAAAACACCAGGTGCCAGCAATACCAGTAACTGACAGACTATGATGGACAATGCTTGCAGGAAACCTATGGATAAATCGACAGGCAGCAAACTAACCAAAGCAAAGCAAAGTGGACAACAAAGTGGAAATCATAGCGGTTAAAATATCATGTCTAATATGTTTAAGGGTGCCATATGAAACAATACAGTGGTAGAGAGAGAGAGAACTAATTGGGAGAAGAAGAAAAGACAGAGGCCGGTTACCTGATCACAGAAAACAACATCAAATTCCTCGCCACTCAGAAACACCAGATAAAATGCTACGTAAATCATGCGCAGGTAGGCGCAGAGAGCATGGAAATACCCAAATACACTGGTGGGTAACCAATCGCCTACACACACCACAGGTAGGTCCGGCGAGAGTGTCTCTGAGAAGCAGTGCTGTGGGTCATAGTGTGCTGTCCAGATCTGGACGCTGCAGCCACGAGACATCAACGCCACAGCAGCATCCACCACCAGCCGCTCCGCACCTCCTATACCCAGATCAGGGTGCAGGAACACCACCTGGACCATCCTGCTACAAACAGCACAGAACAAAAGACTTAAGGCATATATAGTCAATTTCAAAGTGAGAGTTTAATGAAAAATCGAATTTACATTATTATCCCATTTATCCCTATCCTGGCATAGGTATATATTTTGTTTAGTAGTAAACAGTGGGTCACAGACTTCCATTACTTGTTAGCTTCGCTATCCTTGTAGACTCATGTATCCACATCACTGAGATGTAAACACTCCGAGCAGTTTGATGTGAATTTTTTCATTGTAGAAAAACGAGTTTCTTTACAGTAGTAAAGGAACCAGGGGTCTCAATGCCTATGCAAATATAGCCATTTTATTCATTATCCAAAGTGACCAGTGAAGCTACACGTGTCAAGTTTCTCTAGAAGACGGGCCCATTTCACAGCAAAATGTGAATGAGTGATTACGTATTAACCATTTAATTATGCCAAAATTTTGAATATACGGTGGGGTTCCCCTTTAAGGATTATCATTTGATATAACAAATAGTCGAGGTTACTTTAAATGTCAGACCAAGCAAGCAAACTGTAGTGTGCTCATTTACAAGTAATAGAAAAAGCAAAATCATCATGTTTCTACCGAAACAAAAACTGTCCTAAGGTAGGTTAGCTACAGCTGCCTTGTAAATGGAAAGTTTTATTATTAATGTTAGCTCGGCAGCTGGAACTGTCACTATGACCGAAGGCCATGTCCAATTCAACCGTAAGCTTCTTTCGGCGGAAACAAGTTGGATAACTACATTTTTCTAGATTGAGTCAGCAGTATATTATAGTATGCCAAACTACCGTGTTATGAATAGGTCAAATATAATAATCTTAAACTGTAACTAGATACTTACGATCAGTTACTGTATAAGGCTGCTTGCAGTGACTCTATCGCGCTTCCATAATGGCTCAAATTTCGCACATGCTGGTTAATATCGTATTAAACTCAGGCTCAAGTGTGGAAACTGGAGCCTACCGGAGCCAAAATGTCCTCCTGTTCCTCGCGTGTATCAGACACGTCACTACATTCAACCCTACCCGATTATAAATTGTAAAATAAACCGCATGATATGAGTCATAAATAGTCGAATAAATAAAATGTATGTTTTTGCATTTTATCTGCCCAACAAATCCCCAAACTAAGCTCTAAATATCACGTATGTTATTTTCTTGCTTCCAAATTTAAGCCAGGCAGTGCTTAGGCTACTAAGAGGGACCTTCTTAGTGTTGTCGTGGCCTTTTCAGTCTTCTCGATTCTAAAGCGTCGTTGCGGTAGGAGTTCATTCACAGAGCCGTCCTCTCCGATCAAGTTTTATTCTACAAGGCTCCAGAAACCCTCAAGACAAAATGGTAAGGTGTTTTTTTTAGTATTGTATTCAGTTTATGTGCATTTTCGTATAATAAACAACGTTTATTGGAGAGCGCGTCTGCGTTTCCTTCGGTTTGACAGCCACAGCTAACGTTGGGCAGCACTGAAGTTAAGCAGTAACGGTAGCTCGTTAGTTAACCTAGCTTTGCTGCCTCTTTTTCTACTTGTTAATGTTTTCTTATGTGTTTCAGAATTGTCAAAAATTGCTGTATTATATGATGTATACCAGCTGTAATCATTTGAAACTAGTGATATCCACTGCATTCGTAATTCGTAATTTGGTCCACGTCTGCATACGTGGCTTTTCAGTAGTGGACCACCAAAATAGCTGTAGTGGTAGCTTGGCTCAACCTGAACTTTTAACTAATGGCGTAGTTTAACAGTTCTGTCTGTACAAAAGTGATGAAATAGATGAAATAGATGAAAACACGTAAGAGGAAAACGTTCTTTACCGTTGATTCAGCACTTCTATGTCTCCAACTGGCTTAACCTTTTGATCGTTCTGATTACTTATGTCTCTTTGTGATCCTCTTCAGCCTGGACCTGCAGCAAGTGCATCAAACGTGGGTGCCTCCGGCCGCTCCCCTAGTAAGTCAGTGGCCCCTCGTGCGGCTGGCTCAACGGTCAGACAGAGGTAAGAGGTCTGGCTGAACCTCAGCTCATCTGCTCCCTGATACACTGCATCGAAATCACTAACAATGATATCAAGAAGATTATGATCATCATTTGACCATTCTGATGTTGGGGGTACACATATATCATTCAGCAGCACCTGGACAACAGTTTGGCACTTAACTGACATTACAGATGCTCAGAGTATCTGAGAGTTGTCACACTAAACGTGTCTAACATTATGGTTTCCCAGACACAGATTAAACCTAGAAGGAAAAAGGGTTTCCAGTGGCGATTTGCCCTTGGCACTGCAGTTTAGTCCAAGAAACCAGTACAATATCTGAGTGAAATATTATGTTGACCAGGTTTTCTTACCAGTTGTGTGTGTGTGTGTGTGTGTGTGCACACTCACCGTCCTGATTAGATCACTCATTAGAAATGATAGTGACCGATCTTTCGTGGTCTTGGCCACAACACATTGTTTTAAACTAATAATGATTGCTGATAAAATTAATCACAATATTTGCTGGGTTAAGAGTAACATAGTGTTAGCACTGATGAACAGTATAAACTACACAGTCGTTTGAGGTAACAGGTTACTTGACCATTTTTGTGAAACTGATGACCGTTGCATGCAGGGATCTCAGATTAACTTAGATTTGTAATGTTTTTATTAGTTGTAAATAATCATTTAAACTTTCAGAAAAGCCACTGGCAGTGGCACGAGGTCTGCAGGCAGAGCTACAGCATCAGCAGGAACGGGTGGCATGTGGCGCTTCTACACTGAGGACTCGCCAGGACTTAAAGTGTGAGTGAACACATGCACAATCACTTTATTCATTTTCTAAAAAGCTTAATCAGGGTTTTCCACTTGTCCAGGTACAACAGCAAATGCTCTGATTGGCAGTAATTTGGTCTTTTGCATCAAGCACAAACTGTGGGCCACTTTGAAGCAATTGCTGTCTAGTAGTTCTAAAACTGATAAAAGTGTTATCACAACACATGGACTAGGGGAACTGACTAGGTATAAAAAGACTTCTAAATACCAAGTTTTCGAAAGTTCTGCATAATTCAGTAGTCGAGATGTAAACAAAGTCATTCAGAATGTTTTGATGTGAAATGGTTCATTGTAAAGAAACTGCCAACTGGGATGTCTTTACAGTGGTGTTGTTGGTAGAATTCGGGGGTGTCAATGTCTGTGTGAATATAGCCATATTTTACTATCCAAAACGACCAGTGAATGTACGTGTCTACATGAGTTTTATATGTAATGTTAATAATGGTAAAATGGTGGTAAATATATATTTTAGGCCAAGACCTTGTCAAAACAAATAAAAATGTATGATAATGTATGAGGTAGCATATTCCTGATCATTTAATGTAAAAACTTTGTGAGGTAGCTTTTAAAGGCTTTTAAAGAACAATTTTGATGTGGTAAATTTTCTCTAGATTGGAGCATTTCACACCAAGCCAGTCTGAATGACTGTTAGATTATTTTTAAGCATGCCTGAAATTTTGAATGTTTAACATTCTACCTGAGACTGACCTGACTTTTCATATAGCACCAAAGTTTGGATCTGAACCCAATTTAGATTGACAAAATTCTTATGAACCCAACCACCATCATCTGATGACTGGAAAAAAACACCATTTTCTTAATAATGTTGTATGTCAAGTTACTTTAGCGACAATAGCCACGTTTACATGCAGCCTAATTATCCATTAATAATCAGACTAATAGCTCAATCAGAATAGAATACGTCCGTGTATACACTTAAATCGGAATAGCCTCAATCTGACTAGACCATTCAGAATACAGTTTCTATCCGATTGAACAAGGTGGGTAGTCCTGTAAATAATCTGTTAAATAGAAGAATAATAGCCATGTAAACGCCTGTTTCCGATTACATTTCCAGTCGGAACGTGCAAGTACGTTGTGCGTATGTGCATTCGCGTCGTAGCAAAAGTTTATAACGTTCATGATGGTGGGAGCAGAATATGGTCTGCAGAGGAGACAAAGTTTGCGCTTTGAACTTTAAAAGATGGCGGTGAGACGGGCATCCAACTTATGTGTCTCAGAACATGACGTCTTCCTCTCACCCTTCTTTAATAAGTACGTGAGGTACATTTTTCTGAGTCTGACATTTTTAAAGCAATCAAAAAACACAAGTGCGCCAACTGAAAAGCGTGTTATTTTGGTTTGGATTACTTGTAGTGCACATGTAAATGAAGATTTTCCATCAGATTGTTGAATATAGTGTGCATATAAACACCTTAGTCTTAATCTGTAATCGGAATGTATTCAATCGGATTGGCAAAAATCTTTGTATGTGAACATAGCCAATGGCAGGAGTCATCAGATCTGTGGGTGGGCCATGTGCCTAAAATACCATATTATGACACTAAATTATTTTCATTTTTTGAATCACAGTGTTTTGACACATTGTTCTAGTAGTGCCACGTTCAGAAACTCCAAAAGGTTGGACACTAACTTCTATTCAGTGTTTCACATACTGTACTAAACCATTTTAAACTTGACTAATTATGTTCTCTTTTTAATGAAACATGCAGTTGTTCGGTGTTCTTTAAGTGCTGACAGTATCCATGATGTGCTCAGAAAAGTGTACTGATCATCACAACAGTAAAGTTATCCTGATGACAAATATTGTTATATTGCTCACTTTTAATCAAATCATTACTAAACAAAATGAATAATAGTGAGCTTCCAAAATAAAGCTAAAAATCCCCCATTAACAAATGTATTCATTGATTAGTGCTTTCAGGTAACAACCAAAAACCTTTCCATCTTGCTACACTTTACAAAATGCATTTTCATGCAGGCCTGCAACAACATGACAATTAAATGAAATCTAAAATCCAGTAAAGAGAGGAAAGAGCCTATGAGAAGCCCAAATGTGTAATTTGAACCTGACCTAAACCCAACAAATATTTGAGAAATGATGTTTGAATCCCAACCAATCTAATGCTAATGGACAGCTCTGTGGAATTTGGACAAATATATCAGGGTTTACTATTTATTAAGTAGAAGTTATTGACACACAGTTTTGCATTTCATGACACTGTTCCATTTACTCAGTGTAGCTATTTACTGCTTCATTTTTGTAGGATGAGGTGATGAATAAATGAATAGAGATGCTTAATCTGTTGAACACACACACACAGCCACTCATTTTTAATTCATCCCCTCAGCTCAACAGGAAGTGACACGGAAAGGAGGGGCAGGGGGATCTGTGAGGTTTAGCATTTATGAGGATAAACATGAAATTTTAACGACAGGAAATTGGCCTCTTGGGCTCAACCTCCGTCTTTATTTGATCTCTCTCCTGCTGATTTCCCTCCTACAGATGTTTGTGTGTGTATGTGTAGAATAACACTCACATTGTACACTCTTGCAATCCTATAGTCCTATTGTAGTCCTAAACTTAACATTAAAATTTTCTCTTCAAATTATATTTCCTGTGCATGAGATTTATCAGCATTTTGAATTTTCCCATTACAATACTGAATACTGAATCCCCTTTTGGGTATTCATTACGCTTCATCACAGATGGATCGCTGGTGAAGTAGCCATAGAAAAACTGTTTAGTTACAAATGCAGATCACAGCAATAAATAAGGCAATCAATTGTTTAATCTCTGGATTAATCAATAGATGCACGTTCTATTATTTAGAGCTTTAAGCAAGCCTAATATTTTGATCTGAACCCAATACATGTTGAACTTTCAGCCTAATTCTAACACGACCTGACCCATAGCTTGACAAAATTCTTACCCAACCACCAGCAACAGAAAACTGCATAGATAAGGCTATAAGTAGGTAATCAAGGTAATCAAATACTTGGTTTACCAATCCAGTGCATAGTATTCAACTAAAATAACTTTTACGTTTCACAATAAGTCAATGAAAATATACAGTCCAAACACTGATTTGAGCACATTGCCTGGGACACGTTGTTGAGGCACTTTTTTGTGGAAGACGAGTGCTAAAGATCATCTGTTACTCATCCAAGACGAACACCTACTTATTTCACCCACATTGGCCAAAAGATTTCTCATTTGAATAATAAAACAACCCTATAGCCTTACGTTAATATGGTCTAAAGTCCCCCCCCCCCCTTCAATCTGGATAACCAAATTTATATACCGAATATATACACTCTTTTACAGATACTCCAAATTAGTCAGAATGTATGTGCCTGAAATAAACGGCATCAAACACAACCTACCATCTGAGAAGGAAAACAACCATCTGAGCAGAATGTTTTGTTCGGTCAATGTTAACGTACAAACCATCTAAACATTATCAGTAACAGTCTGATGGTCTTATATGAGTGAATCTGGAGTTTCTTTCACTGGGCTGAAGTGTGTGTGTGTGTGTGTGTGTGTGTGTGTGTGTGTGTGTGTGTGTTTTGGAGCTTAATTAAAGTTCTGTCTGAAAAGGTCACATCAATTAAAGCCTCGGGGGTGGGCCTTCAGTCGGCATGGTTACATGGCTGCCTAGCGACCCAGGGGATGGTCAGTTCCTACTTTAATAAAGCCCCTCGTTAGCCGCCCTGCTTGTTAGCGCTGTGCCACTCACCAGCATTTATAATCCTAATTACCCCTCCTCTGCATCATGTGACCACGACGAGCAGTCCTGATTGGCCCATGGGAAAGACACTTGGATCGACCAAAGCTGTCAGTCATAAAAGTCGAGAACCTTTTATCTATACACCGTGTGCTTAAGTAATCCTCTGTGAGATTTATTCTTTTTTTATTTTCTTAGTTTATTTACATAAATAAATAATGACTTTAGCAGGCTAGTTAAAAGAGAATTGTTATGCATTATGCCACATCAGTTTGGGAGGTCTTAGGAATGGAATTACAAAGTAGCTAGAAACTGTTGTGAAGAAACCAAAAGTGAATAAGAAAATACTAAAAACAAAATGAGTAAAAAAAAAAAGTAATACTGCAAAATACTGTACAAAGCTGATTAACTTGCTCCACAGGTGGTGGGAGGGGTTGTCGTAGCCTGGGTGTTCACCACTAGGGGTCATTCTGTCAACATGAATTGTTGAGTTGAGGCTTGATCTGAAACATTACACTTAATTTCTCTCTCTCTTTCTCTTGTTCTCTCTTTCTGTTTTGCTCTCTCCTTAGTGGGCCAGTGCCAGTACTGGTAATGAGTCTGCTCTTCATCGCATCGGTCTTCATGCTGCACATATGGGGAAAGTACACCCGCTCCTAAATTTCATCGACCTTTGATCTTGGACCCCCAAACTCATCAGCGATTTTGACTTAAGCCATTGGACTCGGACCAAACTCTGATCATCCTCACACTGAACCATTTTCATTTATTTTAAAGCGCCCATTTCAGGGTTTCACTCCCACCCTCCATTGTCTGGCTCAACAAAGGATTCCTGCCCACTACAACTTTCATTTATTCTCTCAATTTTTTTTTTTGTTTCATCAGATCTGGAGCAGCACGTGTATGTATTATTTTTTGCTAACCTTTGTACAAACGATTATGTAAAATTGTACAATAAAACATCACAAAATATGTTGTCTGGCTGTTTTTTCCCCCACCCCTTCTGAAGAGAAAGAAAAACTGTTCTTGTGGGGAAATTTGCATAACCTCAGCTTGCAGTGCAAGAAAGTGCTATGCAAATTCACATTCCAGACGTGTGTTGGTGGGGCTCCACCTGTCTCGAAGCATTATGCAATAGCATACACCGTAGCCTGCAGCTCTGCACCGATGACTTCAGTCCGACCTGTCTGGTTGGCCCCAAGCAAAATACACATGTACTCATGCCTTGAAGACACAGTGAACAGAACTGAAAGGTGAACCAGCACTGCGCTGTCAATACTATTTTTAAATTAATATGACCGGAACACAGTAACAAGCATTTTTAAAATTGTGGAATTTAGAGACATTTCCTAAGAAAATAAAATACTGCAGAAAGCCTCCACTTCCATATGCTCCCTTGATAAACGTCCTTTACAAAAAAAAATACGTGACCATCAAATTAATTATGAGTAAAGTGGAATGTCAGCCAGAACTGAGGCATTAAAACCCTGAAACGTCAAGCAAGGGATGTGTTTTACATGAGGAAAAAAAAAGTACCCTAAGAAAATGCATACGAGTATACAGTGGAAATCTAAATCACTTTCCTCTGCAAAACTGCAGAATTACACTAATTATAAATTTTAAAAAGGCATCAATATCCTTATATTGTTACGGACAAAGCCATTAAGTAGCTATGTGTGTTAAACTGGTTGCAGGATGTAATGCAAGCTTTGATTTGATGCACTTGCATGTTGCATCAACAGACCTTTGTGATAAAGCAAGCTAGTGTTTTCTTTCAATTTGTAGCTATTTGCAGAGAACATGGAAAAAAAGATGTTTATAAAGTTATGATGCACTTGTGAACAGTAATTTATCTCATGAGTATTTTATTCACAATAACACTGCCAGATAAAAAGTCATTTTAAAGAATTCTCGAAGATGACAGCCTAAAACAAGGCTTTGAAGGGGCTTTCCATCCTAAAACTAGCATGTCACTTGTGACGTTGTGCAGTATTCCGTAGTGCAGCAATTCATCTCCCCACCTCTTTGGTTTGATAAATTCCAGGATTCAGGTGTCCTTTTTGTGTTTTCACCCATCAGTGTTCTCATAGCATGCGTTACACAAAAATGTCACTGGGATTCCCCCCACAGCAATGAAGAAATTCACTGATGTACCACAGAAGTAAAGGCTAATAATACAGAAGTGATATTCACCTTCTAAACCTTAATGTTATTTATCTTCCTTCTGCATTACCCAGAAGTCAAATAGTCTGACCTCATATGTCCACTCCAAACAGGTTGTAGTTTTACTAAATACATCAACAGAAGGTTATTATCTTCAGACCAGGAAATCTCACTCTAGGGACTTTTCTGGCACCTATAGGAGGCAAGTAGGCATGTTTACAAGAGACGTAGCCGGTTCCATTTTTTATTTTGGCTGGTGTGCCCTTTTAATCCTTGTCCACCCTGCTGAAAAAAAGTTCATTAGGATTAAAACCTGATAGTTTTGTTGACTTAATAGTTAACATTAGAGACCGCTAGTTTTGTGTAGGACTCCAGATCCATTCAAATGCATCTGGAATCAGTCTCAGGGACACCTGTTAAACCATTTACACTGTGATATCAACCCATCAGGAAAACACAAAATATCATTAGTGACTACTGTACACCACCAGCAAACAACAGAAACTTTTAATGGTGTCTACGACCTTTTTTCAGCAGGACAGAAAGCAAGTCCATAATTAAATTTTTAACGAAACTGATGTTAGGAGCAGGAGTGGTTGGCTTTTCAGCTATGCTAAAAGTATCAATAGTGTCAATTGCATATATGGTATTTAAGAATGGTGTAACTGCCAGCATTTGAAAACCTACAGAAACTATACATATCTTTCCTGCAGAGTTGTCTTGGTAAAACTTCAAGTTGTGTGGCTTTTCATCTCCTCAAGAAAAAACAGTAGTGTCCAGATTGAATATACAGTATTTAGTAATGGTAACTGGGAAACTATGAAAAAATGTCTTCTCTGCAACTGAGTAGGTGCTGTTCTAGAGGAACTTCACCAAGTAGTGAAGTTCTTCAAGAAATAGCACACGTCCAAGCTTCTCCAGGACCTTCGCTAAGCTGTATGGTTGTCCATTTCCTTAAGAAATCGTAATAGTGTTCAATACTGAATAAATGATATTGTAATAATAGTTTAACTGCAGAAGTTTGGGACTCTGTGAAAAAGATATTTCGTTTCTACAGATGAGTAGGTTCTGTCCTGGAAGAACTTCAAGTAGTGTGGTTTTCCAGTTCTTCAAGAAATAGCAAGAATGTCCAAGAATATGCAATATTTAACAACGGTTCAACTGGTGATATTTGAAAACGTATTAAAAAAGACATACAGCTATGTAGGTGCTATCCTGGAGGAACTGCAGTAGTGCAGTTTTCCAGTTCTTTAAGAAATAGCACATGTCCAACTTTAAACATATGATAACTGACAGTGGTGATGATAACTGACCTGCTGATATTTGGGAACTACAAAAACACCTACATTTTCTCTACAGCTATAAGTGCTATCCTGGAAGAAATTCACCAAGCTGTGCGGTTGTCCATCTCCTCAAGAGAGAATAACAGCATTCATACACAAATGTTTTGACCCATGTGAAAAAGACATACCTTCTCCACAGCTGAGTAGTGCTATCCTGTAAGAACTTAAACCAAGTAATGTGGTTTTTGAGTTTTTCAAGAAATAGCAAGTGTTCAACATTGAATACACAAAAATAAACACTGTATTAAATGCTTATATTTGGGAGCCTATGAAAAAGAAATGTAGAATGGTTTAACTGCAAGTGCTCGGACTTAAAAAAAAATGAAAAAGACATTAATTCTTTATAACTGAGTTGGAGCTCTACTTGAAGAACTTGACCAATTTCCTCCACAAACAAACGTCTGTAGGGGGAGCTCTACATCACTATACGTGCTCGAGCTCTTCATGAGACCGCCACACCGGTGTGTCTTCGCTCCACTGCTTGGCTGTGTGTATATGTGTGTGTTCTTCATTATTCATGCCCTGAGTAATGAGGGTTAGGTTTCCCACTGGTCCACTCTAATCCCAGCCATGACCCACACAGCCAGAATAATTCAGCTTCAGCTTAAAAATAAATCCATATCAGGAGAGAGAGTATGTGTGTACACTTTGTTGGGCTTTGTTGGATGCATACACTGGGGTGTGTGTGCCACTTCAAGTCAAGATCTTGGACTCACACACACTAAAGGAACTCAAAAGCTTTTAATTTCCTACACTATATGGACTAAAAATAAAAGTTTCTTGGCACCTGCTAATCTGTTTGGCTATTAATTGGGTGTTTGTTCTCTCTTTGCTGCAGTAACAGGCTCTACTCTTCTGAGAAGGTTTTACACTAGATGTTGGAACATTGCTGTAATGATTTGATTGCATCAAGAACATCCGTGAAGTCTGTTACTGATGTTCGATGATTGGTTTTGGACCACAAACAGCCCTCCAACTCATCCCAAAGACACTGAGAATGCAGTTCCACTAGTCCACACCCCATTGCTGCGGGGCTTTACACCCCTCAAACACTTGGAATGTGTAGAGCAAGAATTTTTGGTTTAAAGACTAGAAAGACACTCTCCTTATGATGTATCTTGTAAATGAAGGTAAATTTTGAAAAGTGTTTTGTGGTGGATACTTCAGGGTGGGCTGTTTTTCTTTTGACTTGCTGACTGAATTACTCTTAACAAACAAAAAAGTTTGTCAGCTAATTGAGATTAGTGCTATATCACTAATGCTAGCACCACAGATGTATTCTTTAGTCTCTAAATCAGTGGCTAACAGTCAGGATATTTGGCCTGCTGTAGGGATTCCCAATGACTGTGTGATGTAGTTGCATAATGCATGCTGGGTATTGTAGTGAGAGAACATGAACGAAACACAAAAATGATACAGAACTGTAAATTCTGTCAAATCAATGAGGCGCAATGCTGCTCCACAGAATACTGCATAACATGACAACTATTATATTAAATGCTAGGTTTTAGACCAGATTGCTCCTTTAAAATAGCTGAAATCACTGATTAAAGGATAAAAGTGGACATCCAGTACTGTGTAGTCAGACCACATTTCATTTTTTTAATTTCCAGAAAAATGGCCAATAAGTACAAGTTATTATTTCTTCAGGATATATTTCTGAGGAGATTAGATATTAGATATAAGGTAATCCACTGTCATAACACTGCTGTCGGAACAAAATCTTGTATCTCCATTTTTCAGTTTTTGACATAATTTGAAAATGCTTACTTTTTACATTGTGTGTAAATTTCTTGGTGAATGGACCAAATGAAAAGAAGTACTTACAGCTTCTAACTTCTAAAACTGAACTTTGTAAGTGTGGAAAAATATTAGTGCAGATTTCTTTGAGAAACTGAAAGTAAGTCCCCCAAAAAGAATGAAAGAGTAGGCAAACTCTTTTACTTGTTGAGGCTTCTGTGTAATTCTCTGTTAAATATGTTTTCTGCTGTTTTCCTGACGCTGAAAAATGAATAGCTTGTACTTAATGGCTGTTTTGACAGGAAAGTGAATAAAACTTGACAAATTGGCTTCAACAGAACTTGTTAGCTGCTCATCTGTCAAAGGGAAATGGAGCTGTAGTTTCTTGTTGATTCGTTTGTTCTTTTTTTCTTCGACTTAGCTTGAATCTGTACTTACCTGGAAGACTACATGTAAATGTGCAATACATAACAATGAAGTTAAACGTTTCTTGGAAATTGGCAATGTTTGCATGAGCAAAAGGGAGTTTGAGAGTTTTTTTTCTCTTTCATTTATTTTTCTTTATGTGCTTTTTTCTGGTAACCATTTCCTGAGTTCTTAACCACTGCCTGTGTGGAGGGACAGCCCCAGAAAGAACATACACACATACATACACAGTTACACCTCCAATAACACTGCCACGGCATGCAAGGATTTCATAAAGACTTTGAAAAGGTGAAAGCGTTC